CCTGCTGGATTTCCCACATGGAATGCTCCTTTCTGTGGCTAGTTGTTTTAAATCCATAACAAGCAATACACACAGTTCCACTGGCCCACCAGGACCTACCAGCCACCCTGAGCCCGCTTTGCGGGGAGGGCGGGGTATAAATCTGATAATAAATAAATAAATAAATATCTGATTCTATTCCCAGTATTCCTACAAGGAGTGGTCTTATTAAAAAGAATAATAGTTGCTTCAGACAACAGTTTCTAGACAGATGTCATTTACTTGCCTCCAATCTCAATGTATGTGTTTTAAAAAATGAGCTCCAGTCCAGAAAAGAAGTGGGGGAGCAGAATTATTTTGACTTTCAATTTAAGATTCAAAAATATCCTAGTTTCCTCGTGCCTCCCACTTCTTTGTCAACCCTGTGTCCTTCTAGGCCATGTTTGAGGGAGGCTTTCTTCACAGCTAAACTATCATCTCTCATAACAGCTGAACATATTTTCAGAAACTCTGCTCCAGATTGCTCACTTCTGATCCTTTTCTATCACTCATTCCTGTTTCCCCCACTTTTCTTTCCTCAGCCCACATTTACCAATGCTGCCCCAACCATTTTCCTACTGCTGCCTCCTTCAACCCCCCCACCCTTCCAAGGTCCAGATTCATTTTCCTCTTCTTCTCTTGGTCCTTTCTCTTATTCGATGTTGAATGCCTCCTCCATCTCTTACCCTCATATCCAATGTATTCATGCCTTGCTACTAAGAATGCCTGTCCCCACTAGGGTTGCCAAGTCAAAATTTCTTACCGGCGGGGGCGCCTCGCCGGGCTCCAGGAGTGACACGCGACGTCGATCACATTGAAGGTGTGGCCCCGATCGTCGGAGGGAAAACCATAGAGTTTTTCCTCCGACGATCGGGGCCACGCCCCAACGTGATTGACGTGGTTGCGTCACCTCTGGTGATGCAGCCACGCTGTGCTTCAGGGGGCGGAGTTCCCCCCGGGGCCCGAGTCCGAAGCGGGGGTTTATCCACCCCCCACCCCCACTTGGCAGCCCTAGTCCCCACAATGCCTTGCAGCTTTCTCCCACTCCACCTTTCAGTGCATTATTTGTTCCATTCCCATTGTGCCAGACTTTTTGGACCCAGTTTAGTCTTTCCCCCCCTCCCTGGACCTCACCCGTTTCCTTTCTCTCACCATTCTTTCTAGGCCTTCTGCCCCTCTCCTTTTACTGACAAAATAGCACAAGGTATCTCATCAACTTATACTGAAAAGCCAAGCATGGTAATGGATTTCAGTTCTCTGTACTGGCTCACAGAAACATTTAAAGATATACTGAATTTCCCCTCGGCTGAAAAATGTTGAATGACCCTATCCTACTTCTCTATATTTTCGTCAATTATAGCCAGAACAATTAGGAATTACTATGACTGGCCATAACAGTGGGAATGATTAGGGTCAACTTTTTAGTACGAATCCCTGAAAGGTGCATATAAGTTTGCACCAGAAATGGTAAAACAGCATGCAAAGAAGAAGAAGAATTGGCTTTCATACCCCACTTTTCTCTACCCTAAGGAGTCTCAAAACGGCTTACAATCACCTTCCCTTCCTCTCGCCACAACAGGCACCTTGTGAGGTAGGAAGGGCTAAGAGAGTTCTGAGAAAACTATGACTGGCCCAAGGTCACTCAGCAGGCTTCATGTAGAGGAGTGGAGAATCAAACCCGGTTTTCCAGATTAGAATCCACCGCTCTTAATCACTACACCACACTGCTTCACACCGGAGAGCGGGAGCTACTTTTTCTGCTGCTAGTGTTCCCTCTGTATACAGTGATGTGAGTTTTCTGGGGGGGAAAGAGAATCAGAACATTTTCTAGAAAATTATCTGATATCTCTCCCTTATAATAAAGCAGTAGTGGGGACCAACGTTCTAAAATGCCCGCCTTTAGTGTTTGGCCGGAAGAACTGCCACTCAGAAGACACTGGCTGGGTTGACTGGCTGCTTTGTGCAGTCCCGCCCAGCGTTTCAAGGTCTTTTGCATATGGAAGCTGATTGGACTTCACTCCATTCCACACCTCAAACTCCCCCCCCCCCGCAAGGCAGTTGGAATTTCAGTTGCATATGGGAACTACTGTATTCTGAGGTAACATATGTCCTCACTCACAACACATCACTTCCCCTGTAAAAGAAACAAACCCAATAACACAATCACGCCACACCACAAAGAAGACAGATCACACCACAAGCAGAATACCACAAGGCAAAAAAAGATAGGAAAAGGTGCCAGCAGTCACCCCATTACTGCCACAGATGGTGTGCAGGTCCCAGGTTCATGTTTTAAAAGCAGCCTGGGGAATTATGGACCATTCACACACTTTCAACCTTAACATACCTCATAGAGTAGTTGTGTGGATCATATGGGGGAGAGGAGAATGATGTCAGCTGCTTTGGTTCCCACTGCAGGGAAAGACTGCCCTTTCCCTAGGCAGAGGCTGGGGGGTGGGGGATGTAAAACTTAAGACAGACAGGCAGATAAAGGTTGGCTGATGGTTGCCTGGAAAGGACATAGGGTTGCCAACTCAAGGTTGGAAACTTCCAGGATATTTTAGGGATGAAGCCTGCTGAGGGTGGGGTCTGAGGAGGAGGAGGAAGAGGGGGACCTCAGACAGATACAATGCCATACTGCCCACACTCCAGACAAGCTGTTGCCAGTCTCCAGGTGACAGCTGGAGAGCTCTTAAAGCTTTGGTGCTAATTCAAAGTGTTGCAATTTATCAACAGAGTACCCCTCCGCCCAATGCTGCCCTCTACAGAATCCACCCCCCAAACCTCCAGGTATTTCCCTCCTTAGAGCTGGCAACCCTACATTCCCCTCAGTGCCTGTTGGTAGGCAACTAAGATTGGTCCTGTCACCTACTTTGGCCTTTGGGAGAAAACACATTGGGGCCAGTCCTGATAGGGTTGCCAACTCCAGATGGGAAATTCCTGGAGATTTGAGGGATGGAGCCTGAAGAGGGTGAGGTTTGAGGAGGGGTGGGACCTCAGACAGGTACAATGCCATAGACTCCACCCTCCAAACCAGTCGGTCCCTCATAGGGAACCATTGTTGCCAATCTCCAGGTGAGGGCTGGAGAGCACTCAGAATTACAACTGCTCTGCAGAAGGGAGGGCAGAAGTCAGCTGAAGTCAAAGGGGCAGATAATGGTAGGTTGATGGTTAGCTGGGAAGGAGATGTGGTTGCCAACTACATGCTGACAAATTCCTGGGGATTTGAGGGGTGGAGCCTGGAGAGGGTGGGGTTTGCGGAGGGGTGGGACCTCAGACAGGTAGAATGCCATAGACTACACCCTCCAAACCAGCCATTTTGTCCTGGGTAACAATTGCTGCCAATCTCCAGGTGAGGGCTACAGATCACTCACAATTACAACTGCTCTTCAGGTAGCAGAGATCAATTCCTCTGGAGAAAACAGTAGACTCTGTCATTATACCCTGCTGAGGTCACCACAGCAAATTGACACTGTTTGCCCAAAGCCAGAGCACTGCCCCAGAGCCTCTTTCTAGATCCCATTGTATTGCTTTCACAACGGGTTTTACTGCTAGTCCTAAATAAAACGTGTTTTGATTTAGTATGTTTATTTTCACTTATATTTTGTAAACAAAATACCCCATGTTTATTTTATGGTCCAATAGTAACAAATACTTGAACTGAAATATTCTAGCTGTATCAAGTCATTCTAGCTGTATCTGAAGAAGTGAGCAGTGACTCACGAAAGCTCATACCCCGCCACAAATTTTGTTAGTCTTTAAGGTGCTACTGGACTCTTTTTTCTACTGCTACAGACAGACTAATACGGCTACCCATCTTGAAATATTTGATTTGGAGGAAAATCATATGTTTTAAATATTATATTAAAACAAATTCAAAGCTTTACATGGAAACTATTTTTTATTAGAATAATACTTGTAAACATTTCAAGAAAATATAGCATGCACTCCCCTTATATTGCTTCAGTTTGAGAGGAAAAAATGCACTGAAAAGTGTTGACACATGAATTTTAGTACACACAAAGAACTGTGCATCATATGCTGTGGATGTGGTTATCCATTCATTTATTTCATCAGAATTTAATTTTCATCCACAAAGATCACTGGGGCACCTTTACTTATTTACTTTTACTTCTTACTGTTTTTACAACCTAAGTTATAAAATGCAAACCCTCATCTCATGGGAGGATAGCCTAAAATTAGTTCAGTGGAGCTCATCACTTGTATTTCTTGCATTATTTGCTGTGCCCTTTGTCCTCTCACAAACTTGTGGGGGTGAGGCCCGCTATAAAGTGAAGTTTGGAGAGTCTAAGAATGCAAACTCAGAGCTCAAACACACAAGAGAAAGATCACATATCTCACTCCATCCATAAAATACAAATTTCAGTTTTGTAGCCTCAATTTACCTCACAGCTATTAACAGACAGGAGAGAATAATTAGCCCTTCATTCTCCAGTCTATTTTACTATTTGAAACTGGGCTGTTTCCTTTGTTATTAGAATTTTAGGGGGG